TATATATATATATATATATATATATATATATATATATATATATATATATATATATATATATATATGCCTATGGATGACCAGGAGAGTCAATGAAAAAGAAAAACAGCCGTTTCAAATGTAACATTTCAAACATACTATTACAAAATCCAGCGTTTCAAATTAATTAGGTGAAGTAGAACTTTAATAAGGAGTTTTAAACTGTATTCATGAATCCATTATTAAGTGCTGCAATTAAATTTTTTAATCCTATTTACAAATGGAGATTTAAAAGCCACAATTCATAAATTCTTTAAGAAAGTAATCCTCTCTAATAAGTAATTCCTTGTACCATTACCATTTTCTTTTTTCACTGCTTTCAAGTCCGTTGTATTTTCTTTTTATTTTACCCTCTCCATTTACCTTTTCTGTGACCCTTCTGGTCCCTGAACACACTGAAAACCAATTAATCCAATCACAGTTGATCCTCAGATGTAGCCAGCTCCCTCATTGGTCACTTTGTGAACCTAGTATGGCAGTCAAACCAGTCTAAACCAGAGGTCTCCAACCCTGGTCCTCAAGATCTACTGCCCTGTAGGTTTTAGATGCACCCATGCTCTAAAACAGCGGAATTAAAGGAATATGTTGTTACCCCTGGTATAAACGATTAACTATTGCCCTTTCATAAATTTTTTTTGTTTGTTTTTTGTTTTAATCCTTCTTTTTTTGGTGCGCTCATGAAAAAACAAACACAAAAAGGCTTAATTTAGTCTGGAATCACCACTGTCTTAAATGTGGCATGTCAAATTAGACTGAATGAAACTGACGACTGATTTAAGACATTTAGATTTAAAATTGATCAGCAACATTAAAATTGTTGAACTGTTGCTTATTTGATTATTATTTTTTCCCCATTAATATTTATTATTTGAAAAATACTGTTTGTGGTTGTCAATGTTTGAAATTATTATAACTTTTTCATGATCTAAAACATTTAATTAAGGAAAGAAAATAGATAAAAGCTGTAAGAGGTCAAATACCCCTCAATTGGCACAACCAATGGGAAAGGATTCATCATTTTAATCTGAGCTCATGGAAAAATGATACGCAGATAAAGTCTCATCTAATGCTGTCCAATACGTACTCATCAGTTCCCATTCAACCCTACATTCAGTCCACACACAGATCTAAGCTTCTGGCACATGGAGCACCACAGGCTAATACTCTGTAAGCTATTCACCAAACAAAGTCTCACACATCGAGCAGTGGTATTTCCTGGGTCAAAAGCTTGGAGCTATCAGCAATATTTCTCGGTCAGTGTCCCCTCATGATGGAGAGAGAAAAACATGGTGCAAGGGTGAGAGGGAGAGACAACAGTCTGACAGGAAACAGTCAGGGCGATGGAGGGACAAAACAGTTGACATCATTGTTCTAGAAAAATCCGCCTGTTGGCACAGTTTGGCTGCCAGTGTTGGCATAAGAGGTTAGAGAGGAGTGGGTGAGTTCGGAGGAAAGGCCTATAAAGGGAGTTTAGGGCTGCTCAGCTGCACCCAACTTAAGTCAAACAGACCAGCCTTTTCTGACTCCAACCATGGATATTCCCATTCAGTACTCTTGGTACCGGCGCGCCTTCCCAAGCCGGTTTACGGAGCTCTCTTTGGCAGAATCTCTCGCTGACTTTCCACTGATGGGACCCTTCTCCTGGAACTTCCCCTGGATGAGGCCTTCATTCATGCGCTGGTTAAACTGGCCAGAAAATGGACACAGTGAGGTAGAGTGCTGTTTAGTTAGCCATTCAGTGGTACTAAGTTGATTAATTTGACTTACTTAACGTAATTAACTTTAATTTTCCCAATGATGTTTGTGAAATTCCTTGTTTAAGTTGCTGTCATAGGTGTTTGACATGAGAATGCATTCACATAAAAACAGCTGCTTCTAATAAATGTCTGCACAGATGCGAATGGAAAAGGACCGCTTTGTTATTTATCTGGACATGAAGCATTTCGCCCCTGAAGAGTTGTCAGTTAATGTCAGCGACGAGTTCATCACAGTGCTCGCCAAACACGAGAACAGACAGGTCAGCAGAGCTTGGAGATCTGAAGAAACTGCAAGCTGCAGCCTTTCTAACCGACTAATTCTACTTTCAGGATGATCTCGGCTTTGTGTCCAGAGAGTTCCTGAGGAAGTACAGGGTCCCATCTGGAGTGTTAGCAGCTGACATCACCTCCAATCTGTCGTCTGATGGCGTGCTGACAATTACGGTGCCCCGGTCAGCCCCAGGAGCAGACCGCAGCATTCCCATCTCCTTTGAGGACGGCACACAGAAACAAAAAATGTAGAGCAAAATGATTGCCCTAAAAGTAAAAAAAAGTACTAACTTACTAAGATTTGTTTAAGTGTTGGCATTTCAGTTCTCTTAGTAGAATAGGGAATTTAAATAGATCCCTAGCCTGCTAATTGACATTTCACTTAAGTTTAACCGGCTGATGTTAAGCTAAAAAGGAATCCATTTTCTTATCATATTCCTTTCTGGAAAACATGTAATTTATCTAGATTTTACCGAAAACATTTATGGAGATTAAACTCTAACCTTTGGAAAGCCAGTCTGCTCAGTTGGGTGCAGGGGGAGTTAAGACAGCTTTAAAATCTCAAGTCTGAGGCTAACATCGTGAGTTTTTATACTGAAATGCCAACGGTGCTGTGTTTTCAATGTGACAATGGCTCGGTTTCTGTAAGAGGTGAGGAGCAGCATCAGTAGAAGCACTTGATTGTTTTTTTTGCTTCATTTATAAATCTACAGAAGGAATTAGGGACATGTTTGTGCCTAGTTGAAAGGACAGATGAAAAATGAGCAGTGAGGAGTAGGTTTCAGAGAATAAACAGAGGAGGGGATTTTATTTTCAGATATCTTGTCTATATGTACTGTATGGAACAGTGAGTTTATTTTTACTTGTAAACTCAACCTACTTGCGTTAGTATTAAACTGGCTTGGACCACTGGCATATTAACACAGAAAACACTATTTAGAATAAATATTGAAAGTCAAACTTGTGTTGTTTTGGATTTTTTTTGTCCCCTTATCCTGTTGAAATTATAACTTCATCCAATGTTGGAGACTGAAGAGTCAAACTGTTTTCACTTTTCTGACAAATATTAAGTCATTTATAAAATAATAAACCTTTTTATTGTTATCATGTTAACTCCTAAATGATTTGGTCAGATGTCAGCCACTTAAATTAACCTTGTCTTGGAAAATTATAAAAGACCCAGGAGGCCTAGACACAATCTTGAACTGATTAAGAAAAACAAAACAAGTATGTTGATATTAAACAGCTTCTTTACGATCTAGGTTTCACTAGTTCATTGCAATGAATGATAAACAAAACTAAACAGATGAATGAATTAGAAATTGTAACAAGTCAATTTAAGATAAGGATGCAGAATGACAAGATGATTGCAATTCACATTTATCTATTTAATTTTGATAGAAAAGTATTGCTCAAGAAAGGTAATCAATGAGAGAAGAGCTGTGAGGAAGAAAATAACTGGAATTCAGGGATCAGTAGTCTATATACTTTATACATCTACCTAAAAAACTACCATAATACTAGCTTTTATTCCAACCCTACAAGTTATTATTTGATTCATGTTTTTTTTAGATGCAGAATGGAGTTTACATGGATTTGACGTTACAAAAAGCAGTCCCTCATTTGTGACTGTGGGCGTGGATTTTTGAAAGTGTGTGTTGAGTCAGCATCAGTTGCAGTAGAAGTCCCAGTTCTGGAAAAAAATAAATAAAGAAGTTACATTAAAAGAAGGTCTCAGCTAATAAATACGCTTATTTGTGTATATGCAGAGAAATGTTGGTTTACTCACAGTAGTTTTAACCTCAGTGGTAGCTGGCATGATGGCATATGTTTCCTCCACCACGCTGCTGGGGAAGTGACCAATGCGAGCCTCCTGTTCTCCATAATACGTGTTTTGTACCTGCAGTAACATAACTTGATAAGTGCTTCTGAAATGTTTCATTACACACTTAGACTTAGACAACTTTTACTGTCATTTTGTATTCACAGAGTGCATATAAAACGAAATTTCATTTTGTACAACTCTCATGATATTTCCATTTCTAAAAGTGCAGCAGTGATCAAATGTAAACAGTGTGGCAGAAAAAAAAACATGGTGCAAAAAAAAAAAGAAAAAGCGCATTGATTTGAGAGTTCAGAGCATTAAATATACATAGTGCAATTTTGCAGTGTTGGTGTTTGGTGTTGTCAGTTTTATGCAGAGTCTGTGACATTATTTAGAGTTTTTTTGACACACACTTTTTCAGCACACTCTAAAGTGTCTGAGTTTGAGACTTTTTTAGTTTGTTGAACTACAGCAAAACAGCAAAGAGTTATTGACCATCAGCACTACATGGCTGGTTGGTGATGTGACTTGATAATGACTTCCACTGTATCTTAGATACACATATCCCTATGTTTGATGATGGAAAACTCAACAGAAACAGATTTTTCGAATATATCAAACTTGTTAGTTTACCAGTAACCTGCGTCTCAAAATCCACCTGGGTTGCCAATTGAAATTAAAGAAAAAATATTTATCCTTGCTTCTGGTGATTTGTTCAAATCTCAATGGCTTCTCAACAGGCTATAAAGCTGTTATAGTTATTATTTGAACAGCGGCCTGATTATATGGAAATAAATAGGGATTCTGATGAGTTACAGATACGTTTGCTGAGATGACTTCTGTTTTTAGCTTTATTATTAATTAATTTTTATCAAATTCACTTTGCAAATAATACCAAAACCACTCATGAGACCATATGCTGGTGTGGTTGGCCCTGTGTTCCTCCTAATGCAGGACAATGCTAGACTTCGTGTGGCTGGAGTTTGTCAGCAGTTCCTGCAAGATAAAGGTATTGAAGCTATGGACTGGCCCGCCTGTTCCCTAGACCTGAATCTGATTAAGCACATCTGAGACATTATGTGTCGATTCATCCACCAACATCACGTTGCAACACAGACTGAATAGTTGGCGGATCCTCATCAGAAGCATGTGCAGACATTGTAGGGAGGTCATGCAGGCACATAGAGGCCACATGCAACATTGAGCCTAATTTTGAACTGTTTTAAGGACATTATATCAAAGTTGGATAATTTTTGTGTGATTTTGTTTTCAGCACATTCAACAACAGATAAAGTATTCAATGTTTATCTAAGCTTATTTGTTTATATTTTTTAGAATCAAACTTTAGTGGTGGATTTGCTCTTCAAGCATAATTTTTAATGCTCGCTTGTATGAAGAAAGAAATGCGCTTGAACAGTATGAGTGGTCTTTGCCCTTTTTAGGGATTTTCTTGAACAAGTTTAATTGTACTTCCTATTTACTCTGTCAATAAAATATTCAAACAAACATAGGAAATTATTTTTGCTTGCTCTGTAATCAAGTTAAAACATTTATTTTTTTCTTGCATAAGAATTCGATTTAAAGCTTAGGACCAAGCTTGATGGTGGACTCAACCTGGAACCTGCATGCAAGCTTTGTGTGGAAAGATTTTTGCTGCCAGCATTTACTTGTTGTCCTTGGCTACTGTAATTGTTGACATTAGGCACTGGATGAATAAGGTGAACCTGTTATAGATGCACCCTGTGAATGAAACATTCAAAGCAGCAAAGAAAAACAAACAAGCATTTTAACACCAGAATCTAAATGCAGAAAAAAGCCTTTCCATATCTTTATCGCAGCAAACTTCACACTCAATGGTTTTGTTTGCTTGCTAATGATTCCCTAATACAACAAAACAGAATGACAAAAAGTTTTTTCTCGAAAAGCTTTAGAATCTAATCAAAAATAATTCTTTCTCATTTCAGCTACAGCTAAGCAAACTTACCACATACAAGTTATTTATATGGGTGTAAGGTTGTAGGCAGGCAACCGTTTGTTGTCCCAACAGTTTGAAGCCTACTACCTGTACACCGTTTTCTTTTCAACTCAACCTCTCTCCTAAAATCTCCTCAAAGTATCTAACTTGCTACAACCCCATTTGCTTTCTGTCTTGAGGTATTCAGATGGTAAACTTCTAGTTTTTATTAACTATATTTGAATTCTAATACTTTAATAAATTATCAGAATACATTTTTAATCCACTTCTCCCAATGGATCATACTTCTCAGCCTCCGCGGCAATGCCTATGCCAGGGTCTTGGAGAGTCCAGCTGATTGTTTAATATCGGCTTCAGGAAGAGCAATGCGGTTTACCTCCTGGCTGTGGAACAGTGGACCAGTTCTACACCCTCTGGAAGGGGCTTAAGGATTCATGGGAGCTTGCACAACTGCTCTATGTGTGTTTTTTTGACCTGGAGTGCACCTGGCCTTTGTCCTCTTACTAGGGGCCATCTGGTCTCTGTTCAAGCAGAGCCAGAAGTTGGTCCGCATTGTCAGCATTAAGTTGGACCTATTCCTGGTGCCTGTTGGACTCCACCAGGGCTGCCCTCTGTCACAGATCCTGCTCATAACTTGGACACTATGGACATGATTTACAGGTGCATCCATTGGCTGGAGCGGTTCTGGTTTAGTGTCTCTGTTTCTTTTCGGATGAAGTGCTTCTGCTGGCTCCTTCATGTCAAGACTTACAGTACAACTTACGTTGTGGCTGGGCTCTACCTTACAGATAGGGGGATGAGTTTGATTAACAGAGAGAGGCTCAGACTAAAGCTGCTTCTCCTCTACATTTAGAGGAGTCTGCTCAGGCCATCCAGACATGTGTCCAAAAACTACCCCCTGGTCTTCCAGGCACATCCTCTCGGGAGGTGTTTCTTGGCTGTCCTTGGAGCTCCCTGTACTCCAAGAGGAACTGGAGTAGGTGTCTGGGGAAAGGAAGTCTGGGAGTCTCTACTAAGACTGCTGCCAATGCAACTCGGCCCGCGCATAAGTAGAAGAAAACAATTACATTTTTATTCCCAAATCTGACAAACATCTAAAACATTAATATAGGCTAAAACTTTTTCCACAGCTACCTGATGTTAACTGCTAGACAAAGGTAAATAGAGCACCTTTTTGCGTTTAACTTTTTTTTGTTACTTGGGTAGTTTAATTTACTTGGGTAGTTTAATTTTTTCTGCTGACTGGCACTCAGGTGACGCGTCGTCCTCTTGCACTGAATGAATAAACTTTCAGGTTCTTGTCTTGGAGAGGATTTATTGATCCAACGCTCTCACAAAGGACCAAATTTTAACTTTGTCCACTGGCTTACAACCAAAGGATCTTACACATATAGACACTTTTTGTTGATTGTTCATATAAAACTCCAGTAAAATACAGTATTTTTTGTGGTTGTAATGTGCTGTTCAACAAGTATGGAAACATCTCCTCAGCAATGTATAGCTCATATTATAGACATATTTCTTTGTACTCACACTGCCAGCCCAGAAGAGATTCCCTCTGTCCTTCAGCATTGCATAAACATAGACGAGCTGCCCTTTTTGGATGGGGATGAACCTGCAGTCTCCAGGGTAGTAGTCCTGTATCGCACGGGCTATCAGGATTGGGTCTGTGTACAAATAAGATTTTATATTTGGTTGGGTTCTGATGACTCTGTAAGACTTTTATGTCTGTTTTAATAATTAATCTTTAAAAAAGTATGAAAATCACAATGGATATGGCTCCCCTTTGTCAGACAGTTGACATAGAACAGTGGACCAATGAAAGGATATGTGGACCCACTTAAACGTATGCTCATATTCTGTGCTCTGTATGTTCCTAATTCTTAGGTGTTGCTCTCTCTATAGAAGTGTTTGCTTTAAAGCTAATCTAGATCTTTGTCTTTGGTGTCTCTTTTGTTCTTTTTCACAATACTCCATAGATTGTCTGTGAGGTAGAGCAATCCATCGCACAGCTGCCATGGTCTTTAAAGTAATTATTGGTATTTTTGGTAGAGAGGGAAGGTGCCAAGTACTGATGGAAAATCAAATGTGTACCTTTATGTAACATGTCAGCAAAGGGTAGCATGAAATGCTGTAATGTTTACTGATAGTTGCTACACTGGCTTTGACCTTATTATAAAAATAGTGGATCAAGACAAGCACACAACGGGAAAGTATAAAACATTAAACGACATTGCACTCTAAATTGGTGCCTCTGAAACCTTACTCTGAACTGTAGGAACTTGATTTCCAAATAAAATGCAAAGATTTGCTCTTATACGAAAAGAAGACTTTTGATCTTTGAAATATTTCAGGTGAGATGCTTCTAAATAGTCCTTGGTGTAGTAGAGACCTAATATAAGTATTAAAACAGCTGTCTGTGTTTTCCCAGACATGTTTGTTGATTACTGGCTTTGACAAATGTCAAGTCAGTAATCGTCTGTATGCTACATGAGAATAACATGGCCATGACATTTCTTAGAAATATTTGTTGGTTTGAAGTTGTATTATAATCTTCCTAGAAATTGAATGGTGATTTGAATTATTGTCATCTTATCCATCTGTATCTATTTCATCCATACGTTTATTTAAATAAAACCTCAACATTTATTTTCGTTCGTTTCAGTGATTAGATAATATAATTAGCAATCTAAGCAAGGACAAATAGAAACTGTTGTTACTTACGACTGCATTCAGAGTCAGCGCAGAGTTTCTTGTTTGATAGTTTGGGCATCTGTTTTCCAGCTTCACAAGCTGCCAGGAATAGTATCACAGGCAGAGCAGAGAGGAGCTTGAAGGCCATTTCAGCAAGTAGAAACACCTACTAAAGTTGGTTTTATGATTGGTGAGGGTCCTGCTTAGCTTTTTATTTCCTTTTTTTCTGTTTACCGATTCCTGAAAGGAGGAGGGGTGTTAGTTGTCCTCTCTTCTGAACTCTCCCTACCCCCTTCCTCATAAATGAACAGAGAGCCTCTTTGAATTGCCCTAAGCAGGTAAACAGGATAAGAGGAAGAGGAGGGGGATTGGGCTGCAGCTGACAGACCCATATTTGTGTGCTCATCAGTTTTCATCCATCTGTAGCTGAACTATAGACTGCTGAACTTTAAGGCATGAAGTTCCTAAAAGTTAATTTACCTTAATATCCCTCCTCAACCACTAGATGTCCAAGCAGCATCTGCTCCTGTGTGTGTTTCCTTTACACCTTTGTAACTCAGAGGGAGGTGTGGTCCTCGGCTTGTATTTACATACATATCTCTCTACTGCCAGGGAAACCAGCTGAGCCTCTCTTGCGCAAATACTCCCAGGCACACAGACTCAAACGCACAACACCCAACAGGAAGACTGCTCCACTCACCGGAGGTGCTGGGAACCATCAGGTAAGAGAGACCTGACACTTCCTCCTTCAGTCTGAATAATTTCTCATTTAGAATAGATATATGTTGAAAAACTACAATACTTTTTAGATTGCTCTAAATGTTTTGGTTTAAAGCATTAATTATGGGGAAAAAAGAGATTTACGTCAGAGAATTGTCAGGATGACCTCAGAGGGAAATGGTGTTTTGAATAAAATTTGTATCAGAACATCACTTCCACTGAAGTGTGTGGGAAAAATTAAACTTAAAAATATTGTCTTTTCACAATGTTTCCAATAGCTTTACTTTAATTTCCTTACAGCTTAGGACTGAAACTCTCTGCTTACATTGTCTGTGGAATTTAGGGAGGGGAGCAGGAACAATGATAATCGAGGAGCAAGTTTTTTTGGTCTGAGTAACTGAATCACCAGTCAAACAAAAGCTCTTCCTGTGTCATTTTATTAGATAGATAATATTGCCAGAAAAAAACAAGCCATTCTAAGTTTTTCTGTATCGTTATCTTGCTGTGGCAGGTTCCCGTCTGAAAAGGAGAAGCTCTAAATGATCCCAGTCCTTTGAGGAATACAGTGGGAAACTAAATGAAAGCAAAAGGGATGGGTGTTCATCCTGCACCTGTTTGACACTGGAGAATACATCCAATAGCCAAAGGGTGGAGGTTTCAAACGAATCCCTACAAGCCAGCAAGTTTTCGTCATGTTCACTCCAAGAAAAGACAGCCTCCCCTCACCAAGCCTGGAGGATTCCTTTTTTCCTCTCTCCTCTTCCTCTGCTGTATCTCTCTCCTTTGCTCTGCAGTCAACATCATCCTCTCAGTCAGGAGGGGATGAAGGTGGAGCGATGGAGACTGACCTGATACTGGCTGCAGAGCTTGGGCAGGCTTTGCTGGAGAAGAATGAAGAGTTGGCAGAAACTCTGCAGCAGAGAGAGAAAGAGGTGGAGGTAAGGGGATAAAAAAATAACTTTAAAAACTAAAGTCTTACCTTTAATATGAAAGAGGAAAATTCCACCTTAATTTCATTCTGCTTGTCTAGTAGTCATACAATTATTAGATTACGGTTTATCCATCCAGTAAAGAAACAGATATTTTGGTTATCCAATGCCTGTTGTCTGGAATGGGTCTGGAATGAAAGCTTGCAGCAAATACCATGTGCTATATTGTGTCATGGTATCCTTGGGAGATTTTTCCACTGAAAACAATAAATGATTATCATCAATAATAGGTTGAGAGATGTCACGGTTCATCACTTTGAGGAGTTTGTCATTTGTAATTTTATTAAGGATCCCCATTAGCTTTTGCCATTCCAAACAGCTGGTCTGCCCGGGGTCCAGATTAAAAACATATTGTAATAAAGCACAGTCACAAATATTCAATTTCCAAAAACGTAATTTCTCAATAACAGTTTAGAAATTATTAGAGAATGCACAAGGCAAAGTTTAAAGCCTAACCTTAAATATGATCCTTACAAATATCCCAGGAAATGAACTGCTGTGGTTAAATTCTGTCAAATCAGTCATTATGTGGCATGGCAGTAGAGGTATGAATTATGAATATATATATATATATATATATATATATATATATATATATA